ATGGCTAGCTTAGTATCAAGAGTGAAGCTGAAGTGAGTAAGCTAACTGTAACTACTTTGCTACCAAGGAATTTATTTAGTTTGAATCTAACAGTTAGTTTGCAAACTAAATATTTAGGGAGAAGTTGAGCATTTAATTAGCTCACTACTTTAATTAGCTCTAAGCTAGCTAAACATTTTGTTAGCATTGATATTATATTTGGTTAATGATTTGCAAATTAACTTGCAGAAGTGGACTATCAAAATAAAAGCTGGGCATTGAGAACTTCTATAAAAAGTCCTGATGAGACTGTATACGAAGCTGATGCTAAAGCTAAGTATTTAGTTGTTGAACTAAGTGTTTTATCTCCAGTATTTGGAGCCGGCTGCTTTGACCTTCAGGTTTCTCTCCTCCATCTGGCTCAGACACTGAGGAACATGGCGGCTGAGTAAAGATGGCGCTGAGTGGCTCAGACATGAAGCTGCTGCTGCAGAAACCATTTTGTCCATTTTTGCTTCATGTGTTCATTCTCTGAGCCTGAGATCTGCTTCTTCCTCTCCCCTCCCGCGTTGCTGTGCCTCCCGCTGCGGGCGACTCCAAGCCAAAGCAGCGCCAAGAGGCGGCCGGACGTTTCCAGAGACTCGTAACAGAGGACGGACGTTGAACAAGTCATCATGGAAACCATGAAGAGCACTGCTCAAGCCACTCGGAGCATCAGAGCTGGAACTATAATCCCATTTGAACAGTTTGTATATTTGCAGCTTTTGTTGGAATAAACAAAAGGGAAAAACAAAATGTGAGATTTGGATTGTCAGAAATGGTGTGGATTTGGATCCAGGACTGTCGTCCTGTTAGATCTGATCTCTGAATCCATCCATGACCCGTAAGCTGAGCCCACTTCCTGTCAGAGACACAAAAACCACAGAAAAACTTTTTTCCTGCTGGAGGATCAAAATAAAGTCATATGCAGATTCATCAGAATGAGGAGATGATGTCATCATCAGCAACAGGAAGTGGAATAAAAACACACGTCACCACAACCAGCGGCTACATTTCTACACCTGATGCGTTCGCAGATGAAATCATTTCTAACTGTGGCACAGGAACCACCTTCAGTGGAACCAGCAGCTGCTGGGAACGTTGGGAGCAGCGACAGACTGGGAGTCTGACCACAGCTGGGAGGAAGGATCTGCAGCAACCGCTTTCTGCACCCCGGACGCAGCCGCCGGGAGGGACGCAGCCGCCGGGAGGGACGCAGCCGCCGGGAGGGACGCAGCCGCCGGGAGGGACGCAGCCGCCGGACGCAGCTTTTTAAAAACGCAAATCCAGTTCATCTTCTGCCCAAATGTTCTCTCTTCCAGTTGTTTTGTCCACACAGTTAATAATTAATATCCAAACTTTAATATTTATTAATGGTTTTATTATAATCATTTAATTTCTGCTAGAGGCTGATTTATATTATTCTGAAAACTGATCTAATGTACCATTTACCAAATTATAAATATAAACAGGAATTTATGCTGCAAGAAAAATAAATTAAAAGCTCTCATCATCATCATCATCATCATCTTCTTCTTCTTCATCATCACCATCATCTTCATCATCTTCTTCTTCATCATCATCATCTTCTTCTTCTTCATCATCACCATCATCATCTTCATCATCATCATCACCTTCACCATCTTCATCATCATCATCTTCATCATCATCTTCTTCTTCATCATCATGATCACCTTCATCATCATCTTCATCATCACCATCATCTTCATCATCACCATCATCTTCACCACCATCATCATCATCATCACCTTCATCATCATCTTCACCTTCATCATCATCATGACCTTCATCATCATCATCATCACCATCATCACCTTCATCATCATCTTCACCTTCATCATCATCATGACCTTCATCATCATCATCATCACCATCATCACCTTCATCATCATCATCATGACCTTCATCATCACCATCACCACCATCATCTTCATCATCATCATCATCATCACCACAGGAGCAGATTTCCAGTAATCCCGGCTGGTTCTGGTGTTTCTGGTTCTGTAGCGGGGGATGAATGAAACTGGACCTCCTCACTAAACACATCTGAAGGAACCACGAATGGTTCTGAACGTTACCATGGTGATCCTAGAGCAACACTTAACTTTCTGATGACAAAACACGAGAAGATTTTCCTGTGAAACCAGAACCGGAACCAGAACCTGTCTAGACCGGCAGTGGAGAACCCTCGGAGCAGGACCCTCTCCTGACCCCACCCGGACCATTCCCCGGGCCGCGGACCCCCAGCGCTCCTCTCACCTGACCAGCAGCAGCAGCTTCCAGCCCACCAGCGCGCGCCCCGCCGCTTCCCGCCGCCTCATGGCTCGTCCTGCGCGCGCTCGCCGCCCTCCGCTGCCTCGCGCTCCAGGTGAGTTCAGGCGGCGCGCGGGTCGCAGCTCGTGGACATCCCGCCGAGACTCCGGAAGTTAAGCGGCGGAGCAGCTTCCCGTCAGCAGAGAAGAGCGGAGATGAAGCTGCTGAGGAAGGGAGAGCGCCCAGATGTTCACCCCGCCCCCTGCTCTGATTGGCTGAACCGCGGGCAGCTCAGCCAATCACAGCTCGGCCTGATGCCTCAACATGTGGAATCTAATCAGCAACTTTCTACAGATTTACTTTACTAAACATTTAGTTAGTAGTTTACTGACTAAACATTCAGCTCATAGTTCAACACTCAGCTCTAAATATTTACTTTGAAATAAGCAGAAATATTTAGTAAGTCACCTAAATATTAAGTTAACTATGTAACTTCAAGCTAAGTATTTATCTTTGAGCCAGCTAAATCTTTACCTTCAAGCTAAATCTTTACCTTCAAGCTAAATCTTTACCTTCAAGCTAAATCTTTACCTTCAAGCTAAATCTTTAGCTTCAAGCTAAATCTTTACCTTCAAGCTAAATCTTTACCTTCAAGCTAAATCTTTACCTTCAAGCTAAATCTTTACCTTCAAGCTAAATCTTTACCTTCAAGCTAAATCTTTAGCTTGAGGCGGTTGGTGCGTTTGGTGCAGCTTGCATCGCCGCAGATCCTCCGTGGCCTTTTCAGTCCAAACCTGTCAGATCGCATCTTTCAGAGCCGCCAGCAAGGAGTTCCTCTGAGAGGCGATCATGTCCAGCAGCAACAAAACAGTCTGACCTGCAGGCAAAGCCCCGCGGCCCCCGCAGAGCCGCGGGCCAGAGCCGGCTGCACAAGTCAGAAGCTAGAAAGAAACAGTAAGCGCGGCTGGATGTGACGTCCTTCCTGGACGTCCGCGTCAAAGAAGACTCGGGGCTCCAGGTTCCTCCTCACACCTGATCCTGCAGCTGCACGGCGACACGCCTCCCATGTTCACCGTTTCACTGTTTCAGCTCCACAAGTATCGATGCACAAGGGAAAATACTGCAGGAGGAGATGATGTTGACAGCAGGAGCTCAAGCCAACATCTTCATTTCCAGGTTAAGTCTTTGCTGTACCCCGTTTCTGCCACTAGATGTCCTCAATTACTCCCGCCTCCACCTGTTCATTATCCCACCTGGCCACGCCCAGTCTGGATCTGGCCACGCCCAGTCTGGATCTGGATTCCCATTAATGCTCCAGTTTCCTCCTGCAGGAATGTTGGACTTTGACTTCGTTGTTTAATGGACGTCATTTGTAAAGATACGCTGTAAAAAATGAACCATAACATTTAGGGGTTCCTTTTTCTAATTCACATTTCTACCATATTATTCATTCATCCACACTTTCAAACTAAATGTTTCATACTTAGCTTTGAGGTAACTAAATGTCTAGTTTATATTTAGCTAAATATTTATACTTTGTGGGCTGCACAGTGGTGCAGTTGGTTGCCCTGTTGCCTTGCAGCAAGACGGTCTTGGGTTTGATTCCCGGCCCGGGGTCTTTCTGCATGGTGGCTTCTCTCCGGTTCTCCAGCTTCCTCCTCCATCCAAAAACATTAATTTAGCTTGAAACTGTTACATTAGAAATGAATTAATAACACGGTGAAAATATGGATTTGGAAAATGAAGCCTGAAGTTTTTCAGACTAAACAACCAAATTATTGCTGCACAACTTTAGACGCAGCACAACAGGCAGGAACCTTAAACGTGTGTGTGTGTGTGTGTGTTAGGTGTGTGTGTGTGTGTGTAGGGTGTGTGTGTAGGCGTGTGTGTGTGTGTGTGTAGGTGTGTGTGTGTGTGTGTAGGTGTGTGTGTAGGTGTGTGTGTGTGTGTGTGTGTGTAGGTGTGTGTGTGTGTAGTGTGTGTGTGTGTAGGTGTGTGTGTGTGTGTGTAGGCGTGTGTGTGTAGGTGTGTGTGTGTAGGCGTGTGTGTGTGTGTGTGTGTGTAGGTGTGTAGGTGTGTGTGTGTGTGTGTGTAGGTGTGTGTGTGTGTGTAGGTGTGTGTGTGTAGGTGTGTGTGTGTGTGTGTGTAGGTGTGTGTGTGTGTGTGTGTGTAGGTGTGTGTGTAGGTGTGTGTGTGTGTGTAGGTGTGTGTGTGTGTGTGTGTGTAGGTGTGTGTGTAGGTGTGTGTGTGTGTGTGTGTAGGTGTGTGTGTGTGTGTGTAGGTGTGTGTGTAGGTGTGTGTGTGTGTGTGTGCGTGTGTGTAGGTGTGTGTGTGTGTGTGTAGGTGTGTGCGTGTGTGTAGGTGTGTGTGTGTGTGTGTAGGTGTGTGTGTGTGTGTGTAGGTGTGTGTAGGTGTGTGTGTGTTGTGTGTGTGTGTGCGTGTGTAGGTGTGTGTGTGTGTGTAGGTGTGTGTGTGTGTGTGTAGGTGTGTGTGTAGGTGTGTGTGTGTGTGTGTGTGTGTGTGTGTGTAGGTGTGTGTGTGTGTGTGTGTGTGTGTGTGTGTGTGTGTAGGTGTGTGTGTGTGTGTGTGTGTGTGTGTGTGTGTGTGTGTGTGTGTAGGTGTGTGTGTGTAGGTGTGTGTGTGTGTGTGTAGGTGTGTGTGTGTGTAGGTGTGTGTGTGTGTGTGTAGGTGTGTGTGTAGGTGTGTGTGTGTGTGTGTGTGTGTGTGTGTGTGTGTGTGTGTGTGTGTGTGTGTGTGTGTGTGTGTAGGTGTGTGTGTGTGGGTGTGTGTGTGTGTAGGTGTGTGTGTATGTGTGTGTGTGTGTGTGTGTAGGTGTGTGTGTAGGTGTGTGTGTGTGTGTGTGTGTGTGTGTGTGTGTGTGTGTGTGTGTTTCAGCAGGTGAGGATCATGTCTCTGGAATGCCTCCTGGCCCAACCTTAATGCTGTTCGGAGCAGGAAGTTCCTCAGACGTGTTTCTGCGTCCTCCAGCAGCGGTGGTCCGGTCCGGTCCGGTCCAGTCCGGCTCCTGGTTCCTTCTCCATGGACTCTCACATCAAAACAGGCAAAGTTTACCTGAAGCCGCTCAAACCCCACAAAGTGAGTCGATCTTTGCTTCTTTGCAGAAATCCAGCTTGTTTAGCTGTTAGCAGCTCGGTTTGGTCAGAACAGATCAAAATGTGAGGCAGGATCTGAAATCGTGATATTCGCTGATTTTCCTGGTGATTTTAACTCAGAGTTTCTGGAGCTCAGCAGTTCGTTTGGTTTTTCTGAGACGTTTAGAGGAAAGTTGAGGAATTCAAACCAACAAGTTGAAACAGATCCTGCAGAACATTCCTGATCCGACACCGAGGAACCAGAGGAATAGAGGTCCAAATCCCAGCCGCTGTGCGTGTGTGTGTGTGTGTGTGTGTGTGTGTGTGTGTGTGCGTGTGTGTGTGTGTGTGTGTGTGTGTGTGTGTGTGTGTGTGTGTGTGTGTGTGAGACCTGACCTGTGTTTACCTGCGTGTCTCTGTGACAGATTGTTTGTCCTGCTGCGTTTCTCCTCCGGCTGAACATCAAGGTGAAACTTTTTCCACCCGCGTCGCCATGACCTTTGACTTTCTTCACTTCCTGTTTGTTTCAGAAATGGAAACCGGTCAGGCTGTCCCTGTTCGCGCCCAGCAGCAGCGGCGGGCCGCCTGGAGATCGGGGACGGCGGAGGTAAGCTTCCTGTCAGGACGCGCTCCTCTGACTCCCTGTGGTTCACTGGAGCCACCAAGGAGTCATTATCTTACCTGGACCAATCAGCACAGAGCTCAGGCAACGCTTCAGACCCCATGAAGCCAAATAAGCAGAAATCAGAGCAGAACGCTTCAACGTGACTCTGAAGTGGTTTTTCTCCTCAGCAGAACAGCAGAAGACAAACGGCTCAAACTCTGGTTATCAGATTCCTTCACAGCTGAAGTTCTATTAGCCACCGGTTCTGACCCGGTCGGTTTCTGACCCGGTCGGTTCTGACCCGGTCGGTTCTGACCCGGTCGGTTCTGACTCTCACGGTCAGACAAAGTTCACCGTCCAGAAACCATCTGCTCAATGATACAAACCTGAGCTTCTGGAACTACGGTGGCCTGGAGGGACAAACTCCAGAGAAAACCTGTCAGTTATGAAAGCGGAGGTCGCACCATGTCAGACTGGCAGGTTACAGGTCAAAGGTCAGCACTGAGCCAGCATGGCGGCTTGGAAGGCCTCAGAAAGTTGAAGGGATGAGAAAAAAATACAAGAGTTCAAAAAAAGTTTCTTTATTGTGTTTCAATTATTTAATAAAATATTAGAACAAATAATTCAGTGGAAAAATTTTCCTTCAAGTCTATTGAGTCTTTGCTCCTTCAGCTGCAGGAACTGGAATAATCAGCCAGAACCACCCGCCCGGTTCTGCTGGGTTCTACTGGGTACTACCGGGCTCGGACCAGCAGGGTGCCGCTGATCTGAGGTCAGATTTCCTTCAGGACTACAGAATGACTGAAGTTTCATTTCCTGCTCGACTTCCTGTTTTCCAGGAAGGTTAAATCAGGATCTCTGACTAATTTAGGGAGGAACCTTTGAAACTGAACTGCAGACTTGGTCTGCTAAGAAACCCCACAGAGTGAGGAAGAGGAGCGTGATGAAGGTCTGACTCGACGCGAGCGCCGGGAGATTGAAGAATCATGTGTCACAAAGGATCATGGAGTCAGAGCTGAGAGGTGGAGGCAGCGTGGTGCTGCGGGGGGAAGACGGTGGCCGGGTTACGCAACACTGAGAGCTCAGGGCTGCGAAGAGCATTTAGCATCATGAAGCAGAAAGTAGGACAGAGAGGAAGAGGAGCAGAGAGGAAGAGGAGCAGGTTTCTGACCGATGGCCTCACCATGAAGGTCTGAGTTGAAGAAACTGCAGGAAGAAAAATTTAATCCAAAAAATAACAAAATTATTTAAAACCCAAAGGAAAAAAAGTCAAAATGACATTTTCTTTGTAAAAATGAATGAGGTCAGTTTTCATTAGCGCTGACGCTGTAAACCAGCAGGATGGTGTCGCCCCTAGTGGTCCGGCATGTTATTGCATCATTTCATGTGTATCTCATGTCTCAGTGGATCTGCTCCAGGTTATAAATGTTGATCCTGTTGCTTTGCTGTTCTTCAGACTCTGAACCTCGTATGATCACGATGTTATGGAATATCTGTTGGAATAACGTGAAGCTAACAGTGGAGCTAATGGTACATGAAGCGATTTTGCTAACATTTAGCAAACTTAGCTTCCCCTAAATTAATTTTCTGAATGGATGCTAAAGTGCTAATTTACTCAGCTGTAATGTAGATTTAGTAAATACAAGTTTAGTAAAAGTGACCAGTTCTGCATCTGTACTGCAGGGGGCGCTGAGCTGCGGAAGCCCCACCAGCTTCACGGGGAGAAGAAGGTGAAGGTGGTGCACCTGATGGAGCTGATCTCCGTCCTGAGGCTTCCTCCCAATGCCGAGGCCTGCCACCTGGTCGGTTCCCCGGTCCGGTCTGTCGGTTCCCCAGGTTCTGGTCGGCCCGGTCGGATCCTAACCGCTGCTCTCTGTCTGCAGGACAACATGTCCACGTTCTGTGTGGAGACCAAAGACAGGACCCTGGTGTTCGCCGCTGCCAAAGACGACTGCCTGGAGTGGGTGGACAAGCTGCGTCACTGCAGCTTCCAGGTACCAGAACCAGCAGAACCAGTAGAACCAATAGAATCAACAAAACAAATAGAACCAGCAGAACCAACAGAACCAATAGAACCCAGAGAACCAACAGAACCAATAGAACCCAGATAACCAATAGAACCCACAGAACCAATAGAATCAACAAAACCAATAGAACCAGCAGAACCAATAGAACCAATAGAACCAACAGAACCAATAGAACCAGCAGAACCAATAGAACCAACAGAACCAATAGAACCAACAGAACCAATAGAACCAACACAACCAATAGAACCAATAGAACCCACAGAACCAATAGAACCAACAGAACCAATAGAACCAACAGAACCAATAGAACCAGCAGAACCAATAGAACTAATAGAACCACAGAACCAATAGAACCAACAGAACCAACTGAACCAAAGTTCAGCTGCGGCTCTCTGATCGGTTTGTTCGTCAGACCCGTGACCCGTGACGCTGCTGCCTGGATGAGTTTCTCTGATCCTGGATTGTTCTGCAGCTGCTAGAAGGCCCACTTTGGAACCGGCTTTATGTGGCTCTGGAGGATGGGGTCAGAGGTCGACTTGAGCTCTACTTTCCTGCTGGAAGATCTGACTTGAGATCTACAACTCCAGATGTATAACTCTAGATCTATAGCTCTAGATCGTTAGTCTTTAGGCCCATAGATATTAACTCCAGTTTTGTTTCTGTTCAGCTTGAGAACGTTTTGGCTCATCCACTGATTTGTTCTCAGCATCTGTTCCATGATTGGATGGGGTCAAAGGTCCCCTGGTGACGTCATTATGTAGAGCTGTGTATCATCTGTGTCGTCATGGTGTTATGGTCTGGCTCTAATACCATAACAAATTAAAGGAAGCAACGCATGGGATAACTTAAAATAGGATTATTTAACAAAAATTATAGCTGGTTGGAGAGGAAAGGGAAAAAAGAGGAGAAGTGGACAGACAGAAAGAAAAGGGCTGGGCTGATGAGAAAAAGGTGGTGCATTTTATGCTGATCTGATGTCATTCATGGAGACACTGGCCAGCTGCCTCCACTTCCAATCAGCACCAATGAGGATATCTGGAGCAAGGGTGCTAAACCCCAAAGGAATAGCCTTGGGCCGTAACACCCCCCCTCTTCAAAACAGGGTCCCCACCGGAACCCTGGGCAACCTATGTATCAACATCTGAAAAAAATAGAAAAACAAGTTTAAATACACTCACGATATCTCAGACAAGCTGAGATGAAACAGAAACAAAATCCAGATCCTTTTATATCCCATGTCCAAGTCGAACTGGTACCATGAAGTGACTCAGACAGGTAAAAGGGGAAAAAAAAGTTACTGACTTTGCGCTCTTGACAAAGCATCTGCGATGACATTATCCTTTCCCTTGATATGACGAATATCTAAAGAAAACTGCAGAAACAACGACCATCTCACAAGTCTCTGATTTGGGCATCGAAAGAGTTCAAAAAGGTCAGAGGATTGATCTGTAAAGACAGTTAAAGGACCTGAGCCCACATAAACCTCAAAATGTTGTAATGACCAAATAAGAGCAAGGGTCTCTTTTTCTATGACTGAATAATTCAGTTGATGTCTATTAAACTTCCTAGAGAAGAAACTCACAGGTCTCTCAATCAAAAAGTCATCCATTTGCAAAAGGACTCCCCCTGCACCAACATGACTGGCATCAACCTGTAGTTTAAAAGGCTTATTCATATCTGGAGCCAACAAAACAGGAGAATCACATAGCATCCTCTTCACATCTTCAAAAGCCCGCTGACAGACAGAGGACCAGCTGTATTTCACATTAATTTTCAAAAGATCTGTCAGAGGTGCAACCACCTTTGAAAAGTTTCTGCAGAAGGCTCTATAATACCCACTAAACCCAAGAATTTCATGAGTTCCTTTTTAGTAGTTGGTGGTGGATAGTTTTCAATCGCTTCTACTTTTGCTTTAACTGGACATACTTTACCTTGACCCACTTGATGACCAAGATAAATGACAGTTGCTCGAGCAAACTCACATTTGGGCTAGATTCACTGTGAGACGTGCCTCCCAAACGGTCAAACAAAGTTGTGAGTTGTTCCAGGTGAGAAGACCAACTATGAGAATAGACAACAATGTCATCCAAACACAGAACAACCTTCTAAACCTCCAACAACTTTATTCATCAAGCGCTGAAAAGTTGCCGGCGCATTCTTCAAACCAAAAGGCATAACATTGTACGAGTACAAACCAGTAGGTGTAATAAAGGCAGCGATTTCCTGTGCCCTTTTTGTTAAAGGGACTTGCCAATAACCTTTAACAGGTCTATTTTAGTAATGAACTTAGCATTACCAATCTGGTCAATACAGTCATCCATACGAGGTAGCGGGTATGAATCAGTTTTGGCTATGCTATTGACTTTTCTGAAATCAGAACAAAACCTGTATGTTTTGTCTGATTTTGGAACTAGCAAGCAAGGTGAAGACCAGCTTGAACATGATGCTTGAGCGATCCCGTTTTTTAACATGTAGTCAATCTCAGCATCAAGATATTTGCGTTTCTCAGGGCTAACCCTGTAAAACCGCTGTTTTATAGGTTGTGCATCACCCACCTCAATATCATGTTCAATCAGATGTGTGCAGGATGGAATATCTGCAAATAAATCAGAGTAAGATTTTATCAACCGAATCAACTCAAAGCATTGAGTCTCTGGTAAATAATTCAGCATCGTGTCCAAGTTCTTCAGTACTTCAGAATTTATAAGTCGACCAGTTAGCATGGCTGAATCTGGAACAGGCAACCCATCGCCATTCCATTCACCTCCAGCAGATGTCAGCGTTTCACTGATGCACACAGGGTGAATATCATCCACCAATACAGTCTTACCACGAACATGGTATGGTTTTAAGAGGTTTACATGAACCGTCTGCTGTTTCTTCCGTCTTTCTGGAGTTGCAATGAGATAGTTTTGGTCGGAAAGCTGTTTCAAAACTGTGTGTGGGCCAGAAAACTTGGCCTGAAATGGTGAAGTCACAACAGGAAGTAAAGCCAGAACTTGATCACCTGAAAGAAAAACACGATGTTCAGCTTTCTTATCATACAAGCACTTCATTTTTTCCTGTGCAGATGATAGGTTCTTATTTGCCATCTGCGTTGCAGTAAAGAGTCTCTGCTTAAACCCATTAACATAATGCAACAAGTTTTGTGGTGGTTCAGCATCTTTCCACTCATCTCGCAAACTGTTAATGGACCACGCACAGTATGACCAAATACTAATTCATTAGGGCTAAAGCCCGTACTTTCTTGCGTTACTTCTCTTGCTGCAAGTAATAACCAAGGCAGACCATCCTCCCAATCAGCCTTCATCTGAACACAGTAAGCACGGAGTAAAGATTTTAATGTCTGATGAAAGCGCTCCAGTGCTCCTTGGCTCTGTGCGTGATATGCTGTAGATTGATTATGCTGAATGTGTAGCTGCTTCAAAACCTGTGCAAACAAATGAGAGGAGAAATTAGATCCTTGGTCACTCTGAATGACTTTAGGTATTCCAAAAATACCAATAAATTGCCCAAGCGCTCGCACCACAGACTTTGCAGTAAGTGTGTGCAATGGATAGGCTGCTGGATACCTGGTACTTTGGCACATAACTGTCAAAAGATACTTAGCACCCAAACGTGAAGGTGGAAGAGGACCCACACAATCAATTATTAAGTGCTCAAATGGTTTACCAATAGTCGGAATAGGATACAGTGGTGCCCGGTTTATGACTTGATTGGGTTTACCAGTCAACTGACAGGTGTGACAAGTTTTAATATATGAAGCAATATCTTTTTTCAGCCGCGGCCAAAAAAAACTTCTCAAAATGCGGTCATAGGTTTTTCTAACTCCCATGTGTCCGGACTTATCATGGGATACCTGCAAAACCAAGTCACGCAATTTCAAAGGCACCAACCTGATAAACTGGCTGCCCAATAACATCGTCACCACATGGCATCCACTTCCTTAACAGTACCTCGTTCTCAACAAAGTAGCCATGAGCATGGTTCTGCATCTCCTCAGCAGGTAATGCAGACTGAAACAAATGCTGTATTGTGGGGTCAGATCTTTGCTCCTGTCCCAAATCACTCTGTGAAATAGACAAAGGAATATTAGACCAACAAAAAGAGGATGTCTGTGTATCTTTTCCAAAGTTTTCATCCTGATGATCATCACTGGATGCTTTCATTGCTCGTGTCACAGCACATGCTTGGAAAACTTCTGGGTGTGATTTTTCATTTTCGTCAGGACCACTGCTGACCAAAGGTACTGAAACAATAACTGGAGATTCTGGTTTATCAGGCCAGACTTTCCCTCCAGCTATATGGTTCCCCAATATAACTGTGACACCAACCACAGGTAGCGCAGGTCTGACACCCATCCTTACTTCTCCTTCAAACAACTTCGAATGAAGCATAAGCTTATGTACTGGAACACAAAACACAGACATGCCCATACCCAACACAGGTATTGATAATCCAGTGTCAGACTCATCTGAAAAAGACAACACTGATGCCAGAATGAATGAATCGTATGCACCAGTATCTCTCAAAATGGTAACTGGTACCCTGACGTCACTTCCAATTAAAGAAACTTCTCCTTCCATAAGAAATGGTTTATAAGAACTCAAATCAGGTTTTCCGGCAAATGGCACTTCAGTCATTTTGTTAGAAACATTTAAAACTGATGCAGCAAGTGCTGCTGGTTTAACCTGATTTCCATTTTTATTTCTAGATTTCAACAAAGCACAGTCTTTCTTCCAATGACCCTTTCTGTGACAATAATTACAAATTTTGTCCGGCTCACGGATACTGCGGTCTGAAAAAAACCCTCCAGAACGTGTTGAACGCCAGTTTGGAGCACTCATCCCATCTGTGTGTTCTCCACCAGTATCTTTATGTGTCAAGACAAAATCATCTGCCAACACTGCAGCTTCTGATACAGTTTTTACCTTCTGTTGATTAATGTACATTGCAATGCCTTGAGAAACAGAGTTCTTAAATTGTTCAAGAACCATTAAATTACAGAGGTCACCAAGTGTTTTAACCTCAGAGGAAGTGCACCAACGATTGAACTGAATCTCCAAATCCCTTGCAAACTCTACATAAGTTTTGTCACCTTTTTTCCAGTTTCTAAACTTCTGCCTGTATGCTTCAGGGACCAATTCATACGCTTTCAGTATTGCAGCTTTAACCTTGGCATAATTCTGGCCATCATTTAAGCTCAACATAGCAAAAGCTTCCTGAGCACGACCAACCAAAACACACTGAAGCAAAACTATGCGGTCTGAATCAGACCAGTCTCTTGTCTCTGCAACTCTTTCAAACAAAGTGAAAAAAGTTTCAACATCTTTTTCACTAAACTTAGGCACCAAACGCAAGTCACTTAAAATGTCAGAGGCCTTACATTTTGAGTCTATAACACAAGATTCCACAGACAATTTGCCTTCTTTCATCAGATGTAATTTCTCACTTTCCAAATTTATTTTTGCCAATTCAGTTTCCTGTCTTAGTTTTTCCAAAGCAAGAACCTTATCCAAATCTGCTTGCTGTCGTAAATTCTCCAAAGCCAACTCCTTTTCCTTCTCCAGTTGCATTCTTAATCTTAACATCTCTTTTTGTTGTTCAAAATCCAAAATTTTAGCTTTACAACCTCTGAATCCAAATCTTCAGGCATTGAAGAAAAAGACCAAACACCCATTTCAATTAAGTTTTCCCTTAAAATTGCTTTAACATTCTCTTTCAACCGTTTTATCACCAACACTTATTTTATAGTGCTCAGCAATTTTTACTAATTGTTCTCTTGAACACAAATCCAGAAATCCTGCTGATGGATTTTTATTAAAATCTTCAACAGACATAATTAAGTTCTTAATCAGAAAACAGTTTTTCAAAATTTAAAGTAAATTGCTGACAATCTGTGCAACACAAAACAACCAACCTGAACCTCCCCTCTAACTGCCTATCAGACACTAACTAGCTCAACCCTAGTCTTCAGAGATCAGGGACGGTGGGTACTTATGCACTAAATACCAGTAGAGTGAAAAAAGCGACCAGAAAGCTGGCAACCTTCTCAACACAACTACGGCTGTGCCCCCGAGACAATTGCTCTAACCATATGATCTCACACTACTGTTTTTTGAGCACATGACTCCCAAAGGGGAGACACGCTGAGGCCTAAAGGAGAATCAGTTCAGATCAGTCATACCTAATTGCACAAACCAGTCAACAATCACACTTACCATTAGTCGTCAGATGAAATGAAAGCAAACCACTTACCCCAAACCAGAAAAGAAGAGAAAAAAAAAGATTTCTCTCAGACTAAAACACAAGATTCCCACACTAACTTCCCAATTAAATTAATAAACAAAACTTACTAACAAAAAGAAAACTGTCATGCCCAAACTATAACAAAATTTGGATGAGCCCCAATTTGTTATGGTCTGGCTCTAATACCATAACAAATTAAAGGAAGCAACGCATGGGATAACTTAAAATAGGATTTATTTAACAAAAATTATAGCTGGTTGGAGAGGAAAGGGAAAAAAGAGGAGAAGTGGACAGACAGAAAGAAAAGGGCTGGGCTGATGAGAAAAAGGTGGTGCATTTTATGCTGATCTGATGTCATTCATGGAGACACTGGCCAGCTGCCTCCACTTCCAATCAGCACCAATGAGGATATCTGGAGCAAGGGTGCTAAACCCCAAAGGAATAGCCTTGGGCCGTAACAATGGTAACTGGTCTTACCTGAGCCATAGACATTGAATCAGAGGGTCCTAGGATGGAGCCCTGGGGAACCCCACAGGTGACCTCTGTCTGTTTTCAAACCATCACTTCCTGGTTTGTTTTCCCAGATTTATTTCCACTCAGGTTATTGTGTCTCAATTCATTTGATTTTTGGGAACGTTTGAGAAAGTCCAAAATGTTTCTGCTTGTGTTTTACAGAGAGAGAAAAGTTCTGGATCCAGTCAGGTCCACATGGAGGAGAACCAGATTTATGCCTCAGCAGACGAAGGTAAACCACCAGCATTATATGTACAAATAATTAAATTTTGACGTCATCATTAATATGTTCTACAAAGCTGGTGGATATTATACAGTAGCAACATCTTATTTATTTTGTGTTTCTTGTTAAAGTTATTGGGGGAAAATGGAAAACAGTCTTCCTTCACTTCAAAATAAGAGCATAAATTTAAACCTCAGACTAACTGAATAATTCTTTACATTTGAGAACCAAAACTTCAACAGAGACTTTATTCAACTGAAAGTTTACAAACCAGCCGAGTAAATTACACTATAAAATTTATCTGAAAACTTTATTGAAGTTTGCTAAATGTTTTCAAGTTAGCAAAATGCTAAAGTTAGCTTCTTTTATTTCTTAGTGGGTTAGTGAAAGTACTGACTGTCCGAACCCATAAATTTGTGAACGAAATTAATTTTATAACAAAGTTTTTATTCTTTCTGTTCATCAAACAGACTCCGCCTCTTGGCTCCGCCCATTCCCTACGTTTGGTTAATAAGAACTTCCTCCTCTCTTTTCCAGCCCCTCAGTTCTGGGTGGTGGTTCAGAAGAACGACGCAGCGACGCGACGAGGCCTGCAGGGGTCGCACTGGCTGCAGCTGGAACAACATTCGCTGCTGCTGAGAGACACGAAGAAGAAGACGAAGGTGATGGAGTGGCCCTACGAGCTACTGAGGCGATACGGCCATGATAAGGTAGGGAGACGGTTCTTTGGTTGACCCGGCGGTGGGAGGTCGACCTGAGCTTGGGGTTTGACCTGCAGGGTCAAACCGGCGCTCATCACTCTGTTTTCATGCCAGGTGTCCCTCACCATTGAAGCAGGTCGGCGCTGTGAATCTGGTCCTGGAACCTTCTGCTTTGAGACTCAGCAGGCTGACAAGATCTTCAACCTGATCCAGAGTAACATCAAGCGAAACGCTCCGGCTGCTGCTTCTGGATCCCAGAGCCAAGACACGGAGAAAGTGCTTGTCACCAACGTTCAACCTCATTCCCCTCTACCCAAAGTCCGTGACATGACCAACAAGGCTGACATCCTGGAGAACAAGCTGAGGATGCAGGACCGGAGATCCCCGGTGTTTGACAATACAGCAAAGGTTCTGGATGATTCGGTTGGTCCGTCAGAAGGTTCTCCTGCTCCGATCACCTTGATGCCGCTTCCATCTATTCCTACGCAGGACAATACCTCCAGAGACAAACTCAAGAGCCAATCCAATGCCATATATGCTGATCCAAATGACTGTGGCCCGTCTATTATGGTACCCAAACTGGCCACCGCTCAGTACATCGACCCGGCGAGGATCCTTCCTCTGAAGCCACCGTTGTCACTGGACCCTGCACTTCCCAACGCCTCAGACTCAAATCCCGATGCGAGGGCCGGCGTTCCAGACTCGGTTTACTCAGAGGTTTACGACAAAATCAGCCCAGACAAGAAAAAGCAACCCGTTCTACAGAACGCAACAACAACGTCCGATGAACCCATTTACTCTGAGCCCGTCTCCAGAAAAGAGCCAGACTGCCAGAAGCCTGAACCCAAACCCGACCCATTCGCACACCTGTACGCTCAGGTCTGCAAAGCACCAACGTCAAGTAGGAAACTCAACGCCTGTCACCACAACGACGACTTCCTCAACCACGACGGGTTCTTCGACGTCCAGAGAGGAACCTCTGGACGATGTCATCTATGAGAACCTGGGCATCATTTAAATCACTACCTGACATCTGGAACTCAAGACTTTTTCAGTTTTTCTGTTTTCTTGGCTTTATGTAAATTAGCCAGATTTGTTCTGCTGTGATATGAACATGTTTCACCAGTCAGGACTTGACCTGCATTTTTAACACATTAAATATGTTTATTTTAACAGCAGTAATTATTTTAGTGCCTAAATAGTTTCATTCTGATTGCAGCACATTGCTTTGTGAACACATGTTCGTTAGCTACGTTCCTAACGAGGCGTTTTCTGTCCACTGGTTCAGCATCACTGGGAAGCTGCAGGGACCAGAGACGTTTCTCTCCACCTGAATGTTTCTCACATTGTACTTGGAAAATTTGGATCCATTTCTTCTTTGGTGGAGCTGTTGTGAAAAACCATCATGTATTCTAAACCCGATAGACCAAAAACGTGCAAGCACACGAGCAGCAAATCAGCCAACACAAAGCAATCAGACTTTACGTTTTTTATTCTTTTTTTAGTGCTAAAAAAGAGACACTTACCATCACAGACTAGAAGTGAAAACCAGGGGCCCCGAGTCTATACAGAATGTGTTTAAAAAACGGGAAGATTCGTTGCTTATGATCTAAGAACACGCCCAGTGGTCATCCGATGTCCTGTGTCGCCTAAATCTCTATTTCCCTGGAGATGGGAGTGAGGAGATGATTCAGTTCCTGTATCTGTTACAAATACAAAGGCCTTTGTGTGAAAGTATGAGAGTGTAATGTGTGTAGAAGCATATGTGTGTATTTGACCTTGGTAAGCGCCCAACAGAGTGTAAACACTTTTTGTGAAACTGATGACATTAATTGAATTTTGCCGTTCATCAGCCTTTATGCGATGTTTCAAAATATACATAAAAAAAAACATGGCCGGTTCATCATTTCAGGTTTCTTTATATTAATAAACAGATGCAGGTCCTGGTTTGAAAATGTCATGTTCTTTTCTCAGACCTGAAAACTTCACCAGATTGAGAAAAACATGGCAGAGGTAGAAGAAATGGAGAAACGCTTCAGCGTTCATTCAGCACAAAGCGTCTTTTCTGTATGCTCAGCTAATAGTTCATTGATTACTACATTAGTTGGCGGTTATTTAAATAATCAATTGATCCGATTAATCATTTCAGGTCGAGTGTTTCGGTGGAAGCTGTTGCTTTCATGATCTTCTGTTAAAATGGCTTTCATACTAAATATAGTAACAACTTCCAGTAAATTACTGAGGTTAAAGTTCATTTGTTTGCATGAAAACATTACAGTAAAACATTTTGTTCCATTGCCACATTGTTGAAATGAGGCGAATTACCACTGACTAAAAACTGCTGTTTGTGATATGCAGAAACTCATAACTACTTCAAAAATCTCGTTTTTCAGCTGCTGGGCGGAGGACGGGTTCTGGTCCAATCAGTCCACAGAGTAAACACAGTCAGGATGACTTTACCTGAACCTGCTGTCATTGAGACACTTTTATCACTGGCAGGAAGAAAAGCAACGAACTGAAACTTCACAATTTCCCTCCTGACAAAAAAGGAGCCGAACATCTTCTGAAGAACCGACAGGAAGAAAGCTGAGCTGAACAGGTGACCTCACCTGAACGGAACAGTGACCTCACCTGAACGGAACAGTGACCTCACCTGAACGGAACAGGTGACCTCACCTGAACGGAACAGGTGACCTCACCTGAACGGAACAGGTGACCTCACCTGAACGGAACAGGTGACCTCACCTGAACGGAACAGGTGACCTCACCTGAACGGAACAGGTGACCTCACCTGAACGGAATAGTGACCTCACCTGAACGGAACAGTGACCTCACCTGAACGGAACAGGTGACCTCACCTGAACGGAACAGTGACCTCACCTGAACGGAACAGGTGACCTCACCTGAACGGAATAGTGACCTCACCTGAACGGAACAGTGACCTCACCTGAACGGAACAGTGACCTCACCTGAACGGAACAGTGACCTCACCTGAACAGGTTATGAATTAATTCCGTGCCACAGTTTTTATCCACAAAGTGCCTAAAACCCGCCGGTGTGAAGAACAGAAGATTCTTTAGATGCTAACGGAGCTAATGCTACTGCCAAAACACGGACCGAGCAGAACCAGGTACCGGACCCGGAGCTCCAGAACCAGGTACCGGAGCTCCAGAACCAGGTACCGGACCCGGAGCTCCAGAACCAGGTACGGACCCGGAGCTCCAGAACCAGGTACCGGACCCGGAGCTCCAGAACCAGGTACCGGACCCAGAGCTCCAGAACCAGGTACCGGACCCGGAGCTCCAGAACCAGGTACCGGAGCTGTTGGTTCATTGTGAAGATGAAGGCCGCTGCTGCCAACTCTTCCTCCTTTAGTTCCTCATCTTCATCACCTCCTCTGATTTCTACATTTCATCCATTTTTAGATTAAAAAGGTTTATTGACGTCACTCTCTCGTCAGACCCTCATTTACCCAGAATGCATCAGCCATCCAGATTTACTGGATTAACCCTATGATGCCTTTTAAATGGTGGCGGTTCGGATGTTTTGGTTCCGAAGGCCCAACTGGTTCACCAAACTTCAGCTCCAAACATTGTTTAAAGTCAGAAAAACGAGTTTAACTAGTTGTGTGATGATAACAGTAATAATAATATTTGCATTAAATCCCAAGCTGCTGTTTATTGACAGTAAAGTTGGAAGAAATTTTGAAATCCCAAAATGACTTTTTCTGACCAGCAGGGGGCAGCAAAAGCTTAAATTCAAAGTTCGGTTCGGCTCTTCAGAACCAGAACCTTCTGACTCTGTGTGTGTTAGAGGTGAAATGAAGACACAAACACAGAAGTTTTCTTTTTAACAAGTACACAAGTGTCTGAATTCAATTTATTTATATATGCAAGCAAGTTTATGTCTTTACAAATAAAAAAGCCGCTGACTGCCTGAGCTGTTGGCACAGATATGTACAGAAATGGACCGGGCCGGACCGGATGGAGCGAGCCAGAAGCAAGCAGAGTGAAGCACAAACAGACAGGAAGGTGATGAGAACAGGAAAAGGACTTCTGGATGGAGACGAGCCGATCTGCCTGTGGGATCCACTCAGGTTTCACTGATTCCTGCTGTTCTCTGCTGACATGGTGACTTTGGATCCTGAGGATCCTGGAATGATGATGAGTCCATGATCAGCAGGACAGGATCAGATCTGGACATGGAGACGGAAATGAGAGGACGACCCGCTGCTCGCAGCCTCAGCCTGCAAACAAACGATCGGTTCTGGACCTCAGCAGCTGCGCAATGGGATGGACGACCTCAGCTGACTCATCTGAAGCAAATCAACCAGGAAACATTCAGACCGAAACGCTAACTATGCTTCCATTAACTATAGAAACTGAAATTACCAAAATAAATTCACATTAAAAAAAAGTTTTTCTGTTGGGATCAAAACACTTTTCATGTGACAGACATCCCGGATGTTACTACTGGCAGAAACACCAAAGAAGACGACAGGAAGTGGAAGGAGACTGATGGCTTGTTTTTGCTTCTTTGGACTCTGAGGTCACAGTTCATAAAAAACTTTTCCATTTGAATCGACTGCCTTTATGTAAAATGGCCGACATTGTGGCTTGTTGCTAACTCAATAGTTAGCAAGCTAAATATTTAAGTCAGAATAAAATATTTAGTTAGAAAATTAAAATTTAGTTTGGAATTTGTAAATGCTGAGAAAATGAACATTCACTTTCTTTTCTCTATGTCAGGCTAAATAGAAGAAGTTTTTGCTGTGAATTTTTTTACAGTGTAGCTGTAAGTGCCTGTAGATTTGCAGCCGTGGAAACGGAAACGCAGCTGATCTGAGGTGTGAGCGCAGCCTGCAGGCTGAGGAAGAGGAGGAGGATGTGAGCAGGGAGGAAGCACGATGAGGATGGCCAGAGCAATACATCACACCACATCTGCAAATCCAATTTATTAGGAGAAACGATACAGAACACCATAATCATATCACTTAAGACTTGCAATCAAAGTTTCATGCAGTTGGATGTTGGAGGGAAAGGTTTCTGGTTCACGTCTCGGCTGAGTCAAACTGCTACCGTATATTGCTCTGGTGGTAAACAACTGAGCAAGCGAGCGAGCTTAGCAACACCATAAGCAACAGGAACCGCAACAACTGCACACTGAGCAGTGGAAAGAAACAGGAAACAGCAGAACAGCGCCAGTGGAAAAGAAACTTTTTTTGTTCATTTTAATCTTTAAAATGATGACCATTGAATGCATAACCATGCCACAAACAACAACTAGATTCACTGTCTTTTTTATGTAGAATAAGATTATCTTCAATGTTATTAATTCATTCATTTTCATCATTAATTCTTCAGGTTATAACCAATGCAAGACTATACACAGGCCCCGCCGCAGGGGGCGCAATGCACTTACACACTGAGAGAGAGAGAGAAGAGAGAGAGAGAGAGAAAGAGAGAGAGAGAGAAACAGAGAGAGAGAGAAACAGAGAGAGAGAGAAACAGAGAGAGAGAGAGAAACAGAGAGAGAGAGAAACAGAGAGAGAGAAAACAGAGAGAGAGAAAACAGAGAGAGAGAGAAAGAGAGAGAGCTCACAATGGTCAATAAGTGCACAAAAATCTATTTTCTCTTGAATCTGAGGTTAAAAACATGACCAGACGTTCATTGTCAGGCAATGAAATGATAAATACTGTTACTGTAAAACTAGACCCTTAAAAATACTGACTGCTGCAGCCGAGGTTCACTTGGACCGGGCCGAGTCTGCAGGAGTCCAACTCCAGCTGCGTCCGCACTACCGGCCCGGTTCCGACCCAAACACGGAGCCCAGCGCCGGCTCGGCCCGGCCGGGTCTCCAACGGTCCCGGGATCAGAATGATGGACATCAAATTTGCTCTGAAAGCGTTTTATTTGTTTTTGGTCTGAGATCCTGAGGTGGTTGAGCCGGATCGGACCGGACCGAGCCAGACCCGGTTCTGTGTGGGCGCAGCTTTCTGCAGAGCGGAGGCCCAGGACATTGGGACTGGGCCTCCTCCTCCAGACTCTGGGCCGACAGGAAGTGGACCTCCCGGCCGCCGGCCTCCACCGTCTCACATAAACGTTTATCTTTGTACAGAGTTGATGCAGGAGCGGCACGACGCGGCGCGACGCGGCGCGGCGCGACACGACGCACCGCGACACGGAAACAAAAAGAAAATCACATCATTTCTAATTAAATAGCTTCACATTTAAAAAGTTTCAAAGTTGATAATAAAATAGTGAGATGTCATCAGTGAAAAGCAAAAGAGAACTATGGCTCAGAGTGACGGTGGTGTGTGTGTGTGTGTGTGTGTGTGTGTGTGTGTGTGTGTGTGTGTGTGTGTGTGTGTGTGTGTGTGTGTGTGTGTGACCAAATCAAACTGACGTCATCACCTTCCTCTTTCTGAACACAAACTGAAAATGCGAAGGCTGCATGCAAACTTGCATCAAGCTTTGAAACGTGATTCAAACATCAAAACAGTAAAAAACAAAATGCAGGAACCTCAGAAAAAAGAACCAAACGGGGAAAATCAAGAACAGCAGGAAGTACAAAACACTGTGGTCCTCCAGGCCAGCAGAGGGAGCCGGCCTCCAGGTCATCCGCAACCAGAGACAAGATGTACAGCATAAAGTTGCAGGAGTAAAGAAAATCTGCATTATCCTTCCTGTATTTATAATACTAAAGAAAAGCAGCAGATTTTCGTAATGTTCAGACTCCCCCTGGTGGCCTGGAGGACCAGCGGTTAGTAGAGCAAGTTTTAGGGTTTGTACTTGCTGTTTTTGCTAATTGCAACATTTGAGCTTTTGCTTCTGTTTCCTGCGTGTGCAGAGTTTTTCTGTTTCTTTTATTCTTTTTTTTTTGAGTTTGCATCGTTTTAGTGCTTGCAGCTCGTTTCGCCGCCCGTTCGCCAATCAGAACCCAAACTGGCTCATCTCTACTGGCAGATAGAGACTCATCACCGTCCCGAACGAAGCCAAAACAGCCGCAAAACCAAAACCAAATTCTTCTATCTAGTCTGAGGAGCTGAAAAACGCTGCATCTCACAGAGACTGAGCGACTCTGGACAAATTTAATGCGAAGTTGATTTAAAGTCAAAATCTCAAACATCTGGTTCTATGTGAAGCTTCGCAAAGCAGCCGGCTGGTCCCACATCATCCAGATTACAGCTTTCCAGCTCTGAAGCACCTGAGGAGATTATGTAAGACACCAAAGAAGTAATAAAACCACAAAAAGCCGCAGTAGAGCAAATCATTCCTGAACACGCAGCTCATTCACTGTTTCATCGCCGTTTTCTCTAAGACTCAGCAGCGCCCCCTGCAGGAACCCGAAGAAGCTGGCTCAGGCCTCGGATCGTCTCCTGGTGACGTGCTCACTGTTCGCATCGTGGTTTTCTAACTTACTGAGGACATTTGGTCACATTCGGGCTGGTTGAGAACGGAAGAAACCGTGACAACAGAAAGAAGCTGTGTGTGTGTGTGTGTGTGTGTGTGTGTGTGTGTGTGTGTGTGTGTGTGTGTGTGTGTGTGTGTGTGTGTGTGTGTGTGTGTGTGTGCGTGCGGGGGGTGGTGTGCAGAACCACTGAAATACAGACTCATTACATGAACTCATGTGACATAAACCCTATTCCCAGCTGACCCCTGACCTCCCACTTAAATACCCTCAGTGCTAAAATTACACATAAATAATCAAAAATCCCCCAAAGTGATAAAATCATGAGGAAAACAGACGGATGAGAACAGGACAAAAAGACTTTGTGCTGCTAAGATTTGCTGTCTCTAAAGACAACGACGAGTTTTTACAGTCCAGGGGAAACGGGGCGGGGAGGGGCGCCAGCTTCACTGGAGCTTTTTAAAATCCTTTATTTGTCTTTTGCTCAATAGTTTCTCTGAATGAAGCAACAATTTGGGCCTTTATTGTCGTTGTTTTGCTGGTTTTCCATTAGAAGGTTCAAGAATTTAAGGAGCAACCAGTGAAACTGGACTTCAGGGGAACCGGACGGTGGGGCAACAGGTTGGGGAGGGGGAGTTGGCAAAGCGACCCATCTGCACCCAGCAGGCACAAATTTACTCTGGACCTTTTTCTCTGCAACACCGCCATCATAGTGTGGTGAGAGGAACGACACAGCATGACACCACCGAACGACACTGCCTGCACAACACCGACCATTCAGTCACATCGACGTGTGTGTGTGTGTGTGTGTGTGGGGTGTGTGTGTGTGTGTGTGTGTGTGTGTGTGTGTGTGTGTGGGGGTGTGTGTGTGTGTGTGTGTGTGTGCGCGCTGCAGGTTAAAGGAAGGGGCTGTTATTTACTGATGAGCCCCTGGACACCACTCTCATCTCCGTCTCTGCCGGGATCCTCGGCTTTAGAACTAACTTTGCGCTCCGGCTCTTTGGGTCGCCGGTTCTGGTTTGTTTCGTTGGTTTCTGTAAATCTTATGCTGTAAGAATTGCTCTGCCGTTCAGGCTGCTAAACGTTGGGATCTTTAGAAGGTTCAGCTGATTTTATTTGTTCAAGGTCAAAGGTTAAAGGTTCCACTCAGGACAAACAGAAGCACCAGAGCCACTGATCTGCAGACACGAGGATGATGATGGTGTCGGAGTTTTCATCTTTTCTTTCTGTGTTTTTCTCCTGTCTGATGGATTTATGATGTCCTCAGGCTTGTATCAGCCACTGTGTGTGTGTGTGTGTGTGTGTGTGTGTGTGTGTGTGTGTGTGTGTGTGTGTGTGTGTGTGTCTGACAGGTAAGTGTGTGTTGTTTCCGGGTGGCTCTGGATTTATGTGTAGGCATTGAGGCGTTCTTTGGAGCGCGTGGAGTGGATGTCATGCAGCTCCTGCTCCTCCTTCGACTTTATGTCTTCGTACTTCTGCATCCGGCTGGCGTCCTTCAGGTAGCCCCAGTTAGCGGCCAGCGCCATCAGGAAGTGGACCTGAGGGACGGACACAGACACATCCAGATTAACGAATCATTCCCACCAGCTCTGTTCAGTCCGCTTTGACCCGACTCCAGTCCATGTTTCTAGTCAAAGTCCGGTTCAGTTGGTGAGGTGTGAACGCTAAATGACCTCTGACCTTTGGTCTTCCAGATCTGGGTTCGGTTTGAATGTGAACACCAAGTGGATCAGAGACCGCTCTAAAAGCAGGATGTGAACTGCAGAGCAGGGCATTCTGGGTAAATATAACCAAAGCTAACATTAGCCTAGCACTAGCAGCAGAAATGGCGTCTTTAGCCAAAGACTAAAGAGAAATCCTTCAACCACCAACATCTGGTGAAGAAGTGTCTCCAGCTGTTGTTGGATGGCAGGCGGGCGTCCAGCCTGGACCGGGTCACCAGTCCAGGCTGGTCCCGGGTCACACAGAGACCCTGATGACAGACGACCTGCACATGCAGAACGACCCGAGCAAACAACCAAACCTTCCAAGCTACCAACTACGCTGCTGCAGCTCATAAAAACTACGCTCACAGTCTCAGAGTTTAGATCCAATGAGGCTCAAAGCAAATGGCCGACAGTGACTCAACTGGGTTCTGCAGAACCCAGTTGAGTTTCTCAGCCAATCAGATCAGAGTATGTTTGTTCTCACCATGGCAATGACGGCGGCTCCGGCTCCTGCCAGCGCACACACAAACAGATGGAAGGTCAGGTCCAGCTGAAACAGAAAACCAGAGTCAGACCGGATCTGCAGCGCCTCAGGTCCGGTCCGGTTTGGTCCGGAGCTGCTCACCTCATTAGAGTCGCACATGTTCAGGAACTTCTCAGAGCCCATGCACACCTTCCTCTCCTCCGAGATGGTCACTGCTCCTGAAAGCAAAATACAAAAACGTCACCAAACACACGAGCTGGAGCAGCTACTGGGGGCCCGACAGGGGCCCGGGTACCAGGACGGGTCCAGTACCGGGAGGGGCCCAGTACGGGGAGGGGCCCGGGTACCAGGAGGGGCCTGGGTACCGGTACCAGCTCTTCCTGGCAGTCACAGACTGCCCTCACCATGAGAACAGTGTTTCTGTCTGCAGTTGCAAATGTTGGGCAGCAGATGGCAGCAGTGCTGGAGTTGCTGCTTATTGTGGACAAGCAGCAGAACAACATGGAGGATGGAGCAAAGATTACATCATATGAAACAATTCCGGATCACTGCCGACTGGGCCCGAGATAACAGAACCAGAACCAGGACTCAGTACTTCTGTCTGCTGGTTCACTGATCAGTTTTCATTAGTCTTTCTAATTGACGTTCTGCTCCTCCAACCCAACTCTAGACACACACACACACACACACGCATACACACACACACACACACACACACACACACACACACACACACACACACACATACACACACACGCACATGCACACACACATACACACACACGCACATGCACACACACACACACGCACACACACACACATACACACACACACACACACACGCACACACACACACACACACACACACACACACACACACACACACACATAGCATGAAGCACTTTGAGTTTTCCGGGCTGGATCAGGTGCTCTACTGGTACCGGTAGTTCCAGGTAGTTCCAGGTAGTTCCAGGTAGTTCCAGGTACAGATGCAGGTCAGTGTAGCTCTGGGTTGGTGGTTCTGGTGCTACTCACCGAACTGGCGCAGGTCGAGGCAGAGGTTGGCTCCCTCCACTGAGGTGGCGTTCTTACACATGGACCAGACGTTGTAGTACATGAAGACCGGGAGGCTGGTGAACGCCGTGACGCCGAGCCACACCAGGAAGAACAGGTAGGCCAGAACCATGAGCTGCCAGACAGAAGCAGTGGAGTCAGAGAGACCAGACGGAGCGTCTTTACCGTGGGAACAGAGATTTTATCTGGCGCAGCTTTTAAATGTAGAAAGCTTTAATTACTTTAACCTAAGCACAGACATGCAGCATGGAGCTTTTGTAAAATATATTTTTTAGATTTTTGTTGAAATTTTCTGCATGTCATGACAGTTTGTTGTGAGATAATCTATGAAAAATTAAGTTGCTCTGCCTTCCCAGTGGTAACTAGAAACCCAATCACAGCCAAGAGGCGGGTCTCATGGCTGTCAATCACAATTACTTTTGGTGCTGCTCATTCCTCTGCTCTCTGCTATGCTCCAGCTGCCATGAATGCTAAGGCCAGTTAGCATAGCCAATGTTGACAGTGGATAAACGGTTTCCCTGTAACAGTGAGTTGTTTCTCCACGTTTAGCACATTCAGCAGTGATTGATTGATTGACAGCCATAAGATTTCTCTGTTGTTGTTGTTTTCAGTTTTATTTCTCTGAAACATCACGTAGTTCCAGGTTTCCTTACGAAAGCAGTCAGGCAGCGTCCGCAGGCGGTGATCTTGAACTCTCCGTACAGATCCCTGATGGCGCCGGTGGTGAAGAAGCCCTCCACCAGCAGCAGCACTCCGAACACGAAGAAACCGGCGGCGAGGCCGTAGATGATGTACTTCAGGATGTCGATGCTGAGGAGAGAGCGACACGCCGCTGTTTATCTGTCCGGACGACGGCGGACATGTTGGGAGGCGTCTGAACCTCAGGTTTTATTTCACACATTGAGCATTTCAGCTTTAAAGGATCTTGTGAACTGAA